GACTGCTTATTATCAGACACTCCCGGAACAGGCGACCTACTGTCTGTTGCAGGCCTCCAGACCCGGCGACTACACCGACCGGAATGCGACTCTGTACTCTGGCCCACTCATGGCTGGAGTGCAGTCGTCTGGGAGTTACTTACTCATTACTTATATTCTACTCCTTCTACACTTTATTAACTCATTCATAACACTCCGGCCTTTCACGCCTTATACTATCAACTAGCTCATAACTGTTGGGATACGTTATATCGTCTATTATCTGGCCGGATCACATCGTATCCCACACATTCAAGGCCCGGTGCAGGCCGATGAGTTTAGAATGCATTCACTAGACGATTACGGGACAAACATGGAAGTTGACATGGACACACATGAGCTGCTCTATTTAGGAGACGCTAGCGTGCGCGGCATAAACAGGTCTGCTTGTCTAGCGAAGGACGCACAAAGCTGACTACCGAGTACTCATCACAACATGATACTCACATCAAAAGTCACGCTGGCATAGCTCATTGTCAGCAATAGAGTTTAACACGCCAACTATCCAGTCCTCTTTTTCCTCCTCGAAGAGATCTTATCCTAAATCTCTCCCTGTCTCCTCCGCCCCCGACTATAAATTCAGATATACACAGGCGATGTCAGGCGAACTAGACTGTCTTCTGGTCACCAAGAAAACTTATTGTCGGTCCAATTTTATTCAGACGGTGCGGTTTAATCTCATCGGACGACACAAAGCCTATCTAAAAGAGGTATCAAATGCTTGGCAAAGTTGAATATTTAAATGCATCCTTTTTTAAATCACACCGACTTATAATAGCTCTTAATGCAAAATACAAAGGTGAGCCAATGTACTTATGCGTGGAACTCAGTGGGGCAGATGGGAGTGAAATAACTGCTTCTAAAATCTCTGCACCACCTAAAACACTTCCAGAGTCAAGTACAGAAACGCGAAGACTCAAAAGTCCTCCTCATCATCGTCAAATGTTGTTGGGATCTCTGGCGCGGTGCCTGAATACTTTTCACCTCTGGTAAGGGGAGAAACTGGATTCTGGGTGCCGTCAACCCCGGCGGGCTCCTGTTTCAAAGCTGCTGTGTCGCTGATTGCGGCGGCAAGTACGCTGTCTAAGTTGTGATCTTCTGAGTTCTCTTCCTCATCGTCATCGTTGTCCTCCTCTTCACCACCCGAAGCCTAAAGAGTGAGAGCACAGCATCAGCGGCTGGTCGCGCAAACTCACAAGGTTAACCAAAAAGAACATTGAAAGATGCAGCCATATTCCAAATGGGATTGACAGTGGGTGCCTATGAATGAGACGAACCGTCGGTTTTGTATAATTCTTCTCAACATCTCTGGGAATCGATGTACATACGTTCGGAGACGAATTGTCCTACAGACCGATGCTAGCACAATCACGCCTACTTCAATCGTTTAGGTAGGTATGCCATAAAGTGATCAAAAATGGGGCTGCAAGATCATTCTTTGCCATACGTTCTTGCCTTTTCACTTCTCTTGTTCTACTAGAATATGAATTTTGTTACTCGAAATAACCGTGACCTATTTTGGAGGGGATGAAAATGACCTGAATGTGATCCCGTTAGTTCAAGGGAGTTAAAAATAGCCAATGGTACTGGAGTACCGGAGTCGCCTGTCGGCCGCTGATTCAGCCAGCGACTATAAGTGAGCCAACAACTAACTGATGATGATCATCAAAAGTGCGTGTTCCGGTCGCAAAAACTGGAGCTGCAGAGGCATAATGAGGCATAACCCAACAATAAGAAAGGAAGTGATAACCGGCCTCCTCATACCTCCCAGCTTTTCCAACTGTATATATCACTGAGTTGACTACAAATGCAAGCACCAGCAGACATT